GAACAAAATGGAACTCGTCCTCTACCTGGTTTTGATTACAATAACTGCCAAACCTGTGTGTTACCTGTGCCATACCTCTAGTTTGCCGGTGTGTTTTACCTGTGTCATACCTCTTGTTTTACCTGTGTCATACCTCGGCTATACCTGTGTCATCTGCTATACCCGTGTGTTTTACCTGTGTCATACCTCGGCTATACCTGTGTCATCCGCTATACCCGTGTGTTTTACCTGTGTCATACCTTTACTATACCTGAGTGTTTTACCTGTGTCATACATGTACCTCTGCTGTTGTACTTACATGTAGTTTACCTCTATTTTACATGAGTCATACCTCTACCGTATCTGGGTTTTACCTGTGTTGTACCTTCATTCAGAAACGAATCAGGACCCACCCCAGGTGTTCATCAGCTACCAGTGGGACTGCCAGGATGAGGTGAAGGCCTTGCGAGACCGGCTAGAGAAAGTTGGGTTGTCCTGTTGGATGGACATCGGTCAGATGGGAGGAGGTGACCAGCTTAACAGCAAGATAGACGAGGGTATCAGAAACGCAAAGGTATACTAGCTTCATTAAAGGCATGTAAAGTAATCTATCATACAGAGTGTTTGATAACTTTAATTTGTTCCTAGATTATATCTGATGTGAAAGCTTAATTTATGAACCAGCTTTATCCTGTCAGATTTACTTCATATTGAGATGAACAAAAACAGTTCAACAGCTTACAGAAAATTTTGGCGTCTTAAGGGTTCGGCAAGAAAATCAGGGAACTGTAAAATAAAGGAATTCTTAAGAAAAGAAGGACAAGGGACAATGAAATATGTTGGTGGTAAATGAGGTGGCAAGGTTTTACTCTATATGGTATATAGGATGCATGCATAATGTTTATAATTATTTTCTGAACGTATACTGCATACCAGGAAATTTCCACTTTGTCAAATGTTCGCCCTTCAACGGTAATATCCATTTTTGACCAATATCTGCCGTTTACATTTAATTACTATGTATTTGCTTACAAATGTTCGCTGTAATGTTAAATTTGCCCTCATTACGGAGGAGGAAAAAGGCAATAATTACACTTGAGCAAAAATTTCCTGGTGTACAGTATTGCACTGTAATTATTACTAGTGACGCTACAGTATATTATAACATATGTGAATGTCTGCCCTGGTGTTTACTAGGCTGTGCTCTCCTGTGTGTCCCCCAAGTATGTTGTGTCCCACCACTGTAATCGGGAACTCAGTCTGGCTGACCTACTGGCCAAGCCCATCATCCCAGTGATGTTTGAACCGGTACCCTGGCCACCTCCGGGCGGAATGTCCCTCATCTTCTCGCAGCTCGTCTACATAGACATGAAAGGTACACTACACCCCTTCCCTCTGTTTACTCAATCTATAGCATGTGCATTTGATCACTTTTTGAATTATCACTTTTAAACTTATCTTTTCATACATTAAGGAACCTTGTCACTCTGTCAGAAAATGTAGCTAAATATTGGAAACTGTTAACTAGCATTACTATGGCATTAATAAATTATTTATGAAAAGAAAACCATAATTTGTTGGACTTTTATGAGAACTATATTAAAGATGAAATAAACAACATATAATCAAAAACAGTGTTCTGAGACAGAGTGTAAGAAATTTCCAGGTCTAGACCAGGATTTGAACTCCAGACTTTAGATTGTCATACTATCGCACTAACCGATTGAGCAAACGGAAGTTGTGCTCCAGTTATATCCAAATGAAAGTTCAGGGGAGGTAACCTACTGTATGTAGAAAAACAAATGGCAGTGGGAAAGGGATCCTTAAATGTTTCTTTTTTTCCCCCCAAATGATGGTAAAAAATATTTTTTATGCATCAGTGGAATAGTCATCTCAGATTTGAATGATTACCAGGTAATAGGCATTCTTATTGATTAGCATTACTACTGTATTATATATATGTCTGATACAGGACTGATATATTTTGTATTTTCTGCACCCGATTCACAGATGTTGTCATCCAATCGTTTAGAGCAGGTACTTAATTCTGACAGGAGCCGTGAACCTTTTGTATTAGACTTCCTGATTTGTCCTGTGTTTGTCTTACTTGATTTACCCAATAGATTTGTTATCTTATTTACCCAGTGTTGTTAT